CTGGTTTATATGCAGATTTGCACCAGATTTTGCACATTTCAATTTTAGTACATAACCCCCAAGTTGTTCTCTGATCGGACTAAGTGGCAAAGTGGGGTGGTGACATCATCGTCAGGAACTGCGAAGAGTAATCTATAGAAGAGAACAAAGAAAGATATATCATGTCTACTGAACATGGTAATTTTTATCATGATGTAAGTTCATTTCTGGATGTAGGAATTCTATCTTTGTAACATATTTGGATTTTGCTAAAACATTTGATTCTGTCCCTCTTACAATCCTAGCACTGCAGTTGAGGATGAAAGGACTAGGAAAGTTTGTATATGGGTAAATAATTGATTAAAGCCCTTGGCAGACAAAATTGTCATCAGCCCCTTATCCCTTCCTCCTACCCCACTCAGCTTATATGTTATTGATATATATATATAGATATATATATATATCTATATATATATATATTCACCGGCCACTTTATTAGGTACACCTTTTTACACCTGTTCAGTTGCTTGCTAACACAAATTGCTAATCAGCCAATCACATGGCAGCAACTCAATGCAATTACGCATCTAGATGTGGTGAAAACGACTTACTAAAGTTCAGAATGAGCATCAGAATGAGGAAAAAAGGGGATTTAAGTGACTTTAAATGTGACATGATTATTTTTTGTCAGACGGACTGGTCTGAGTATTTAAAAATCTGCTGATCTACTGGGATTTTCATGCACAACCATCTCTAGGGTTTACAGAGACTGGTCCGAAAAAGAGAAAATATCCAGTGAGCAGCAGTTGTGTGGATGAAAAGGCCTTGTTGATGTCAGAGGAGAATGGGCAGACTGGTTGCTGAGACATTCAGATGGTAGGATCAGAATTTGGCGTAAACAATATGAAAGCGTGGATCCATCCTGCCTTGTATCAACGGTTCAGGCTGGTGGTGGTGGTGTAATGGTGTGGGGGGATATTTTCTTGGCACTAGCAAGGTATACTTAATAAAGTGACTGGTGAGTGTACAGTATATTCTGTGTATATATATATATATATATATATATTTATTTATTTTTACACAGTTGCTGAGAGTTCCCCCCAGCCAAACACTTCTCCTTTTTCACCACCTGTAACGGAACCGGACCCCGACTGCACTAGAGTATTTCCGTTAGACTCCCGCTTCCCTGTCCGAACACAGATCCACGGACACCACCACTGGCCATACAAGACTAGACGGTACCAGACTTGAAAGAAACCAGGAAATAGACTGCTTTATTCTAACACAGACACAAGATATAAACATTCAAGGGAACAACCCACCTTCCTGCATATGGACACAGGGCGGGGCAAACCAAATCTAGCAACCAGAGACACATCAGCAGACACCCCCAGCAAGCCAACACACAAACACATACATCCCATAATAGTTTGCTCCCAAGCAAGACACACAATAGAACAATGGGATGCACCACATGGCAGTAAACAATGAACAACCCCCACACCCCCCACCTTTACATGTCTACACAATATCAGGACATTCTACCCTGTACCCCTAACAGGCACAGGGTGACTTACACATAAGAGGGATATGCGGAGCTGAGACAGGGGTCTCCCCACCCCTCCAAAGTGAGCTGTGTTCCATGGGCCCCCCACCCAAAGTCACTCCCGTCACACCACCCATATCTGGATCTCTAAGGGCTGGTTCATGCTAGCAGTTGGGGAGCAGTAAAACCACACGGTTGCACCATAATTTTACAATCCCCGACTGCTACCCCCTTTAACTGCAGAGGCAGTGGTGGGGGGGGTCAGATACACATGCTGCAGATGCCATGCTTTGCCTCATAGCCACGACAAGAAATATGCCTAGTCACTTACAACAAAGTGTAGTGCCCGCCAAACTTGACCCATTTATGGGGCTGCTCTGCAATCACCACGCAACCACTTGCAACATACAAGGTTTCATCACGCTAGTGCAGAATGAAGATCACTCTTCAGAGTGCAAAACCCTCACTACTTTTTTTTTCCCTTTTATTTACTGGTTGCAGTATATGACCGTACAACAGATATCCATATGTTATCAATATTGCCTGATATCTTTATGAATGTACTGTCCTTGTATATTCTGTATGTTCTTCTGTTTTCCTATGTAGCCATACTATTTTTTGGAATATTGAAGAAAAAATATATATAAATACTGTGTATTTTTTTCTTTAAAGTGTTTTTTAAGAAAGAGAGATAATAGTTAATCGGCTTATATGGGTTTTCCTGATTAAGTCTACTATAAATTCAGGCAAATGTGGTCTAGTAATCTTTGGGAGAGCGATCTGATTTGCATGAAAGGCATAATAGCTTTTTATCCTGTGGATATGCCAACTGTTAAATAAAGAAGACATCTGACCATTTATCTGGTGTGTGATCATTCTTCAGTATATGGATTTTATAATGGCCAGGTTTCGCCCCGTGACATGCTCTGAGGGTAAATGTATGGACTAGCGATGAGCGGGGTGATTTTAGCCACATTGATTTGGTAGTGAAAATCCCAATTTTGTCTTTCTTGAAAAAAAAATGTTTTTTTTATAAGGAGGTTGTCTTTATGGAGTGGTGCATTTAGGATGGTTTATTTCATTTTTTCATTCTAAGAATTTTTTTCCCTTTCTTTTGGGTGTGTATTTGATCATTTTTTGTGTTCTGTACTTTTACTTTTTATTTATTTTTTGTTTTAATTTTTTTCCTGTTTTTTACTGTATGTGAAAAAACAGTGGTGCTCCCCCAATTTTGCTTGTCCCTATTGTGGACTAACCTGGAGCACTGAGCAGATTCTATAGTCAATAGCAGGCTGCCTGTTGTCTATTGATCCACCTACTGCCTGCTGTCAATCACAAGGGAAATTGACCTGAAAGGGAACTAGTGTCTCCGAATCCCTATCAGTCTTTATCCCTCCAACACCAACATTTTGTCCTTCACATGCTTGTAGCCCTCTGGTCCTAAACTGGGGCCGCTATGTAAATTTAGTTTTTGGCTGGGCTGTAGGCAGCTCAGACTAATTGTACAGTTTCTATCTGGCCTTTCCCTAAGCTCAGCTGGGTTGTGCATTTCTCACTGTCGCCAGTAACTGTCACTGATACCACAGGTCATAGACTGAATAATGAGACTACACAACTAGACTGAATTATGAATATTTATATTTCTTCCAGCCAGCCCAGTAGGAGGTCCATGGCTACTGGTGCATGCTGGGAAAGGGTATAAATGTCTGGGCAGGCCATGTTCTTGCTCTCTTGCCTCAGGTAGAGGATTGAGGAGGTACTGCTGGATGGAGCTCTGTGATTAGGCCCTGAATTTGATTTGTCAATCAGGGAAAAGGGAAAAATAGAAAAGCCGGGCATCCACAATAGTCCAGGAAAGGAAGAAAATGAGGTGCCACCAGAGTATTCTGGAAGCTACCTAAAACATATAACAAAAACCAAGAGAAAAGAAAATAGGCTGCACACCTAAAAGGCTAACCTCAAAGCATATTTATTGTAAATGCCATTCACAGTAAAAGCATTGCATCGTACACCTAGTGTGCACATCCCACAATGAGGACCCCCCCACCCCCGGCATGGAAGGACCCCCCAACCTAGACTCAAACCGATGGTGAGGGTGTCCCCTGGGTACAAACCACATCCGTGCCTCCCCAATGGAAACCAGCTACCCTCCCCAAAAGAAAAAAGCCCCCCCACCACCCCTAACCCTCCCAAAATCCCCAACCACCTATCCTCCAACACATCCAACCTCCCCAGAAACAAAAACAAAATATGAGAAACCCCCGAAGAGGATCTCTCAAAGTGGTCCAAAGCTCCTACCACAATGACCCACCTAAAAAATATCCCACCCTTCAACCTCCCCCGAAGAGGGAGAGAAAGGAGCTGAGGTGTGTCACTGGCCCACAAACACCCCCCTACCCCCCAGACCCCGCTATGATGTCTCCCACCGACCTACACACCTATAAGGCCAATAGTTGTCCCTGTGCAAAAGCAGACTATAATATGGGCAACGTCAATATATCAAGGTATGGTAAACCAGACAATCAAAAAATCGTATGTATGTGAGTAGGGCCACAGCCTCAAAGTCCAACCCAACAGTCAGGTACGTGTGAAATTGTAGTCTGGTATATTCGAATCAGATGGAAGGGCAACTATGTCTATGATGTGATCCAATGAGAAAAGTCCGCTGGGACCATAAAATTGTACAGTCAAGGATAACGCAGGCAGCCTGCAGTGTTGCCCCGGCTGGTGACCAGGCAGTGAGATCATAATGTAATGGAGATAAGCCTCTGGATACAGTCCAATCAGCATAAAGCAGTTGAATGCAATACAGCCAGCGGGTATAGTAGCCCAAACAGAGTGCGAGTAACTGCCACAACGCCCTCAATGTGTGTGACCTGTCCAGCCTGCGTAAGCCTGCACAACTGATATGACCTGGATACAACACAGGGTTGCCAGTACTCACGATATGACCACCAAGGTCCTTGCATGGAGCCACGGCTGTTAATCCCAGCAGAGTGACCATATCCTGTGAAGGCTCCTGTGTCTCCAAGCATAACATGATGGATGAAATGCCGCGTCCATAAAATTAAAGTGCTGTAACATTCAGTGAGGCACCATGCGGTGTGGATATGGCGTGTGGAGAATGGAGGGAGGAAAGCGTGTGACCACGCTGACGCTTTTCATTCCGCCTACTTCTGGGACTTCTTCAGAGCTATTAGGCCCTGAAGCCTATTTGAGACCTATCTACACTGAGGTGGTCCTGAGGCAGTCCTGCTTGGTGTGGAGGTAGTCGAGCCAAGGTGAGAGAGCCAGGATGAAGGCTGGTCTCTCAGGAGGGCATGGTGACTCGCTTGGAGGATGCACTAGAATCTGAAAATGCACTGTGGTGTTGCCAGGTCAGCTTAAAGGTTCTGACACTGTGAAGTTAGACTTTGTTTTGGATCTGAAGAGTCTATAAGTGATCTGCTGTGGTATCTGTGGCACCTTAACCCCTCACTCCCTTTACCTCCTTTCCAAGTTCAACACAGGGGCGGACTGACCATTTGGAAACTCGGGCACTACCCGAGGGCCCGGGGTCAGTAGGGGGCCCCATGAGATGCCCCTGTGACCTTTTTCATAGGTTTTTTTGAGTTTGGGCAAGGACACAGGGGCCCCATGATCCGCTGTTGCCCGGGGGCCCCATGAGTTGTCAGTCCGCCTCTGGTTCAACATTAAAACTTTGAAAAGACCAAATGTAACTGGCACCCAATTTTCTGTTCAAGATTCTCCTTTATAGCCATGGACCCAGCCCTGAGGTAAATGCTAGCTCACTTGCTGCCTCTGGAGGTGTGATCTTGCCTTCAAGGGGTAAAGGGGAGGGGGGCGACACACTCTTTATAAATTCCTTATATTGTCAGTATTTTGGAGGGTCAAGTTAGGCTGTTTCTGACATGAGACAAGGTAAGAATTAGGTGGAGGCCTCTAGAAGTGCCTTTTAGTATGACTATCATCCTCAGATGTCATTCCATTCCATAGGAAAGAGGATGTTTATTGTACCTTTTTGGGTGATCCTTGCTGTGTTCCCAGCTGTAGGATATACACTCACCGGCCACTTTATTAGGTATGCCTTGCTACCCAGTGTGGTCTTCTGCTGCTGTAGCCCATCTTCTTCAAGGTTCAACGTGGTGTACGGTCAGAGATTGTATTCCGCGTACCTTGGTTGTAATGAGTGGTTATTTAAGTTACTGTTGCCTTTCTATTATCTCGAACTAGTCTGCCCATTCTCCTCTGACTTCTCACATCAGCAAGGTATTTTCATCCACACAACTGCCACTCACTGGATATTTTTCTCTTTTTTGGACCATTCTCTATAAGCCCTCGAGATGGTTGTGTATGAAAATTCCAGTAGATCAGCAGCTTTTGAAATACTCAGACCAGCCCGTCTAGCACCAACAACCATGCCATGTTCAAAGTCACTTAAATCCCCTTTCTTCCCCATTCTGATGCTCGGTTTGAACTTTAGCAAGTCATCTTCACCACATCTAGATGCCTAAATGCATTGAGTTGCTGCCATGTAATTGGCTGATTAGCAATTTGTGTTACCAAGCAATTGAACAAGTGTACCTAATAAAGTGGCCGGCGAGTGGCAGCTGATAAAAAGGAGAACAGGTTTTGTGTAATCATTCTAATCTAATGAAAACTTAATGCATAATACTGTTTTACAGGTCATGAGACTTTGGGACAGACTGTCAGTGACTCAGACACAGTGCTGACATTATGCCACCTGACTTTTTTTACTGCATCCCCAGATCATATAGGCTAGATCCGGCCCTGGTGGGGACAGTGTGCCACTGAAGGGCTTTGTTTTTAAGGTAAGTCCTTCATAATGTACTAGGATGCGATGCATACTAGTACATTATATTATCTTGCAAGGGATTTTTTTTTTCGCAAGCTGCGGTTTATTATCGCTTTAACTGTAAGTACAGTACATATCTACTAAACCTGTGCCATTTAGGAGATATTCACAGTTGTAGCAACCGACGAAGTCACCAGAACATGCACAGTTCACAGTAAAAGGTAAGTCCGCCATAACATGTATATGCACATATTATACAGTATGTGGTGCATACTAGCACATTATGGCATTAACCTGCGGGGCACTGGCATTTAAAAAAAAAAAAATACTGCTACAGGGTGTCACGGCTGTGCAAGATCATGTATATATGTGATTTTGGAGTTCCGGGTAGGGGGCAAGCATGCGTCCTACCCGCGCCGCCATTCGCGGCCTCGGCTGTCAATCACCGGGTCCTGGCTGGTGATTCCTCACCGACACCTGGCATTGAGTATCACCGATAGGGGGAGAGACCTGTGTATAAACAACACAGATCTCTCCCCTGTCAGCTCCTGCACACTGCTTTGTATGGGTCGGCATAGCAGAGTCATACAAAGCAGTGTGCTTACAGTGTAAAGCATACACACACAGCACACTGTTAACCCTTTGATCACCCCTCATGTTAACCCCTTCCTGCCCAGTGCCATTAGTACAGTGTTAGTGCTTTTTATTAGCACTGATCACTGTACTGGTGTCACTGGGCATGTCAGTGACACTAAGTCAGTTCCTCCCAGTGCCAGAATGCCCACCACAGTCCCACTATAAGTTATTAAATTACTAGTAAAAAAAAAAAAAAAATTCCGGTATATATACCGCCACTTGTAAACACTATAACTTTCACGTAAACCAATTAATTTACACGTATTGGGATTTTTATTTAGCATGTAGCAGAATACATTTTGGCCTAAATTTATGATGAAATTTGATTTTTTTTAAATTTTTTTACTGGACATGTTTAATAGCAAAATGATAGTTCTTTTTTTTTCAAAATTGTCAATCTTTTTATAGCACAAAAAAATAAAAAACGCACAGGTGATCAAATACCACTGAAAGAAAGCTCTATTTGTGTGAAAAAAAGGACATAAACTTCATTTGGTTGCATGACCGCGCAATTGTCAGTTAAAGTAACACAGTGCCATATCGAGCAGGGCCTTCAAACCCCTCGTGTATTGTATTGTTTCTGTCTTGTCTCATGTTCTGTCCCCCTTGCTATTGTACAGCGCTGAGCAAACCCTTTGGCGCTATATAAATACTGTATAATAATAATAATATTGCAACAAATGGCCTGGTCAGGAAGGGGGGTAAATCCTCTGGAGGGCAAGTGGTTAAAGAAGACTACTACTGCTTTAAAGTTTATAAACTACAGTACTAGTAATGAACAACAAACTGATGTCATATCATTACTTAGCCACTAGGTGGCGATGTGTGCATATCATTCAAAGCCAACCATCTATCTTTATCTCTTTTTTTTTTTTGCAGCTATTTCTATATTTTACTGCTAATGATCATCTCATTTATTTTTATGTTTTAATATAGCGATAACTCTGCAGCTGGATCCTCAGGAGTATGAAACCACTCATTTCCACCGTTTTTACATCTTAATCATCATCCTCTCTGACAGTCGTGCGGGAAGTGGAACTTTCTTGTACACTTTTATTTCCTGAATGTATTTAGTTGAAGCATACTATGTAGCACTTTAGGGCTCCCTCAAACCAGCGGCAGCTCTGAACGTATAGATGTAGGTACACGCTGGGAAGAAACAGTGCCAAGGCACGGATCTTGGCGCATTGCACTATTTACTTTGAGTTTTCTTGTTATTTGTTAGTAAATTTATTGAAATGTCACAAGTTATTATTATTATTATACAGGATTTATATAGCACCAAGAGTTTGCTCAGCGCTTTACAATATAACAGGAGACAATACAGCAACAATACAGTTCAATACAAGAGGGAAAGGAGGGCCCTGCTCCTTGGAGCTTACAATCTAGGAAGTGACAATTACATTTTTTTAACTGCAATGTGGATTGAATTGTACCATGTTTTGCTGATAAAAAGTAATGCATACATAAAAATTTATCAATTTACTGCCTCTCCCAAAAATGAATGAATGAATTAATTAAATAAATGAATGAACTCCCTACTACACAAAGGGTCCTCACAAATGTGCATGTGCCAGGGGCGGACTGACTATTAGAGCACTCGGGCACTCCCCGAGGGCCCAGGGTCATTAGGGGGCCCCATGAGATGCCCCTGGTACCAGGGGCGGACTGACAACTCATGGGGCCCCCGGGCAATAGGGGATCATGGGCCCCTGTGTCCTTGCCCAAACTCAAAAAGCCTATGAAAAAGGTACCATGTGCATCTCATGGGGCCCCCTACTGACTCCGGGCCCTCGGGCATTGCCTGAGTTCCAAATGGTCAGTCCGCCCCTGCCTGGTACCTTTCAGAGGCTTTTCTGGGTGTGGTTTGATTGTGGGTGAGGACACAGGGGCCCCATGATCCCCTATTGCCTGGGGGCCCCATGAGTTTTCAGTCCGCCCCTGGCATGTGCTATAATGCCCCGTGGGCTGGCAATTATATCCCTCCCTCCCGTGACTAAATCCCAAATAGACTAATAAGTAAATACAATAGTGCTAAAAATTGTGTATATATATATATATATATATTAACCCCTTGGTGCCGATCGAAAGAGGAGATCGGGACCTTTCCGTGAGTACCGAACATGTGTGCTGGGAGCAGGCAGATTGCGCGCTCTCAGCACAAATGGATTTTTTTAATAGAATGCAAATGTGCGGCCGCTCGGCCTCTAGGCCCAGACGCCGGGAGGCCATACATTTGGCCGGAGCAAAGAGATTAAAGTCTCAATAATTGAGCAAACATATAAAAGTTTAAAAAAAAATATTGAAAATTGTGTGAATATTCAGTCCTCTGCACTGGTTACACTCACACAAAAAGTAATGCTTGCCATACTTTTTTCAGTAAAAAACGTTCTCTGATTGGAGGAGGTGGAGTGGCAGGTGGTGGTATCACAATTTCCACCACATCCAATCAGATAATACCTTGTATTCTAAGAGAAAAAAAATACCAGGTGTTCTCTGAATGGTGCCTATGACGAGCCCCCTGTAGTCACTAAGCAGCAGGGCAGCAACTTGGCACCAGATCCATAAGACAGCGAGGATCACTGAAATAGCAGCAACTGAATGGCAATTTTACATTGCAGGACCATGCTGCTGAGAGTTCCTCCAACTTCCACATACACAGCAGAATACACATACCATCCTATACTTATTTTGCTATACAATACAATACACATTACTGCAGGTTGCTCCTGTCAGTCAAGTCACTGGCTCCGCCCCACACATATTGTCACAGTCACATGATTTCCTCAAGGCATTCATTACTGGACTGAAGGTGATTATAGTTCTGCTTTGCCAAAACAGTTATATTCAAGGCATGCTAAGAATGATTACTGTCACAGTTGCTTGTGCTCTCAACTGAACTGTCAAGCCATCAAATGGTGGGTGTCATAGCTGATCACATATACAGCTCCATGTTATCTGCAGATCAAACCGAGGCTATGATGAGAGTTCCCTTGGCTGTAGGATAGGAGAGTTTGTTCCACTTTAAAGTGGTTGTAAATCTCTGAAATGAAAAAGAAAGTATATCGTTCTATAGTGTGTACTTGCCTATGTCCAAAGCACCTAGTGTGATTTCAGTCTCCTCTCTCATTCCTCTGCTATCTGTCATCAGTCACTTCTGATAGTCTTTGGCAACACCAAACAATTTTAGGAGACAGTCCTGCCCTCACTCTTGCACACAGCAGGTGATTGACAGCCTCAGCTGTGTATGTTTCCTCCTGTGTAGAGCAGGGGTGTTAAACTGGCAGCCTTCCAGCAGTTATTTATTTATTTATTTCAGGTACTCATATAGCACCATCAATTTACACAGCGCTTTACATATATATTGTACATTCACATCAGTCCCTAACCCTCAAGGGGTGTACAATCTAAGGTCCCTAACTCACATTCATACATACACATACTAGGGACAATTTAGACAGGATCCAATTAACCTACCAGCATGTCTTTGGAGTGTGGGAGGAAACCGGAGTACCCGGAGGAAATCCGCGCAGGCACAGGGAGAACATGCAAACTCCATGCAGGAGGTACTGTGGTTGGGATTTGAACCAATGACCCTAGTACTGCCAGGCGGAAGTGCTAACCATTTAGCCACCGTGCTGCCCTGTTGCGAAACTACAAGTCACTTAATGCCTCTGCCTTTGGGAGTCATGCCTTGCAATCAGTGGTGTATTTAGGTTTTGTTCTGCCCTAGACAACACAAAAATCGGACCCTCCCCCCTGCTGGAGAGAGCCTGCCACTGACCAACACCAGCCCCCACCCAAGAGTGCCTTCCACTAACACACACACACCCCTCGGTGAAAGAGAAAGACACTCACCTTCAAAGCTCTGGACATCCCCGGGAGTGACAATCAGGCTCTGCATACACCATCAAGCAGCCCACAGCCTCTCTCGGATCCCACCTGGTTCCCAAGCCACATATGTCCCTTCTTCCAGGGAGTGGTGCTGCCCCCCTAAAAAAAATGCCGCCCTAGGCAAATGCCTTGTTTGCCTTGTGGTAAATACACCCCTGCTTGCAATGCCTCATGAGACTTGTAGTTTGACAACAGCTGGAGAGCAGCCAGTTTGATACCCCTGGTATAGAGGGTGGGGGGGGTGTAAATTACTTCCACTCAGGTCTCAGATTACACTCAGCTGTGTGTTCTATGCTGTGCAGCGTGTAACATCAGATCCCTGCCCCTCATCTGAAGTGTAGATATGGTGTGTAAATGATGGACTTTGAACAGATGTCGAGTAGAGAATGTTGCAGAGAAACAGGTACCACTTATGTAGGAGGATTTGTTTCATTTCTGTGTATCACTTGTGGTCCGTCACTTCACTGGGTCTATGGAAGAGTTTACAACCACTTTAAGTAAAGGTCTTCTTTAACCCCTTGACGCCGAGCGCACGCAAATATGCAGCCTCTCGGCATCTGGGCTTTGATGCCGAGCGGGGCCGCATATTTGCGTGCCACATTAGAAAATACATATGTGCTGAGAGCGCGCGCGCCCTGCGCACTCCCAGCACATATGTCCGCGACTCACGGAAATGTCCCGATCTCCCCTTGCGATCGGGACCTTTTCCAATCATGCGACCGCCATGACTGTGAATCACTGCTGTCACATGACCTTAAAACCCCGCCTACCTCCCAGCTTCTGAAACTTTTAAAGGGCCGGGAGGTGCCGACTCAAAGGGGTTAATATACTCACCTCTGCTTTAGCTCTCCATTTCCTGCAGAAGCAGTACAGGGAATGGAGAATATTTTACAGTTTTTTTAATTAAAATCGAAATCCCCTTTAAGTATATGTAAATGTCAATCTTTTCTGTCCCCTCGGGACTCAGGGCTGGTGTGGTTTTTTCAATAAATCATAAAGGCTTCAAATGAGTTCTGCAATTCCTCCGAATTCCCTCTAAATGAAGGATTTTCACTGTAGCAGTGCGCTCAGCTCGGCAGAAATAATAGGATTTTGGCATGGCGGGGAGATAAGACACCGGGCAGTGTTACTGCAGGCCGTATACTCAGCCCATTTAAACAGTCGAGTGATTACAATTAATTAGAAATATATTTCTCAGCACGCACAGCGAGCATGAAGAGGACGCCCTGCAGCGGATTCCTGACGATTTTGCTGTAAATTTATGAACTGATTTGGGTAAAATATGAAGCAGGTGATTAGGTAAGTCTTACCGATGACTTGTTTCTTGTTTCTTTGGGATTGAGAACAGAGAATGATCCAAACCAATTACCATAAGTCAGCATGGGAGCTTTTTTTTCCCCCAGTTTGATTTTTCCTTATGCTATTTTACACCACATGGGGTTAAAGAGAACCTGTCATTAAGGAATAAACAGCCTCTGCTAGAAGAAGCCATTCCTGAATCTTGTGAACTAGCCCTGGAACAGTCATTGGATGTGGCTTCTTTACTCTGGGACTACTATGCAGCACAGTCAGGGAATGGCAGCTTCAATCAGAGGCTTCTCACATATGAGTTCTGCATGAACAAAGTCGCTGTCAGCCATACAGGATCACAGCCTTGAATGCAGACCGTGTGCGTTTGGGCCGTGCAACCACATTGCTGTCAGATTGGGAGCAGCGGCTGTGTCCGTGCAGTTGCTGCATCCCAATTGACATGGATGGAACTGTATTTCTTGCATGAGGATGCATGGAATACCTGTGCATCTTGTGAACGCAAAACACTACCATGACATGGGAGTGTGCTGTTGAATGCCCATGTGATTGAGGCCTAATGCAGGCCATAGATGGGTCGAAAACCTGCTGTTTAAAAAAAAAAAAATTTAAAATTGGTCATTCAATAGGCCGATGTTACCACCAACCTTAAAAAAAAATCGGACAAATTTCATCTCCTCTACGGCCGGCATTTAATTACTTCTGTCCCTTGCAGAGAGCTCCACTATTATACTTGACACAAAAAAGTATTGCATTTGCAACAATGTATCCATTTGTATCCATTTCGGATACAGATGGTTTTATTTCGGATACAAATAGATACATTGTTGCAACCACAATACTTTTCATATAAAATATAATAGTGGACTGGAATTCTTCTTCTTTTTCTTCTTCTTTTTCTTCGTCTTATTCTTCTACTTTTTCTTTTTCTACTTCTTTTTCTACTTCTTTCTTTTCTTCTTTTTCTTCTTCTTATTCTTTTTCTTCTTTCCTCTTCTCCTTCTTCTTTTTCTTCTTTCCTCTTCTCCTTCTTCTTTTTCTTCTTTCCTCTTCTCCTTCTTCTTCCTCTTTTTCTTCTTTCCTCTTCTCCTTCTTCTTCCTCTTTTCTTCTTTTCTTCTTCTTCTTCTTCTTCCTCTTCCACTTCCTCTTCTTCTTCTTCTTCTTTCTTCTCTCTTCCTCCTCTTCTTCCACTTCCTCTTCTTCTTTTTTTTTCTTCTTCTGCTTCCTCCTCTTCTTCCTCTTCTTCTTCTTTTCTCTTTCTTCTCCTTCTTCTTCTTTCTCTTCTTCTTCTTCCTCCTCTTCTTCCACTTCCTCTTCTTCTTCTTTTTCTTCTTCTTTCTTCTTCTTCCTCCTCTTCTTCCACTTCCTCTTCTTCTTCTTTTTCTTCTTCTTCTTCTTCTTCCACTTCCTCTTCTTCTTCTTCTTCTTTTTCTGCTTCCTGCAGGACACGGCTCATGCGCAGATTTTTTTAATCAGTAAAAACGATCGGCCGATTTGATCATCATTGCAAAATCAGCCGATTTT